GTGCCTAATGTTTAAGGAGAGACTGTTCTTTGGTGTCTCTTCCTCTTCTTATTAGGATGCCAGTCCTGTCGAATTAGGGCCCCACCCTGATGATCCCATGTAGCCCAAACACCTTATATCCAAATGCCATCACAGTAGGTGTTAGACTTTGAACTTATGCATTTGGAGAGGACATAATTCAGGCCATAAATAGTGTTTAATGTAATTTTAGCTACATTTTTAAAAATATTTAAACACATTTTAAACAAATGATGTTTGGGGGCACCTGGGTAGCTCAGTCAGTTGAGCATCTGACTCTTGATTTTGGCATAGGTCAAGACCCCAGGGTCATGGGATTGAGTCCCTCAAGGGGCTCTGTGCTGAGCTTGGAGCCTGCTTAATACTCTCTCTCTTCCTCTGCCCCTCTCCCCAGATTGTACTCTCTCTCTCTCTCTAAAAAAAAAAGAAAAAGAAAATAAATAAACTAAGGAGGCTTGTTTTGCAAATTTCTTTGTACCTTTAGTGCCCACAGCAAAAGAAGAGCCTATAAAAATACCAGCTGCCATGACTTTCTGGGAACTTTTTCAAAGTATATATTATTAAATTACCATTTAAAATCATGGAAAGAAATTACAGACATGAAAAGAGACTCTTTCCCTTTAATCCTATCACACTATTATACAGCTACTGTCATTGATTTCACACACACACACACCCATTCTTTCCCACAGGGGTTTGTAATGGACATTAATGATGCTTCACAAGTTTGTCGTCTCCTTTTTTCATTGAATAATATTTTGTAAATGCATTTATGTGATTAATTCAACACATTTATTGAAAGAATTTCAACTGTTCAATTTTGATGAAGCAGAACAACTTTCATTTACTGAGTTTTACAAAATAGCATCAATTTTCTTCAATAGATCAGCCCATATTACCAGGCTCATTGCCAACTGACACTCCGTTTGCCTACATGAGATATATCTTAATACACATCATGTCTGAATTTTCACAAAGGGTAACAGAATTATCCACAGATGAGATTGGCTCAATTATTTATAGAATTATTAATATACAGTAACCAATACTAAATGGTTTTCCTTGGCTGATCTCCTGTTGGCCCAATTGCTATTCTTTCCAAAGTTTGCCCATAATCAGTTTAGATGGATAAAATTGAGAGGCTCAATCTATATGAAATGTGGGGTTCATAGTCTAACTTAAAGCACAGAGACCAGAAGAAATTTGGTTAAATAAAAAGGGGGTAATCTTTCTCTGAAGAAATCTTCCTTCATCTTCACTTTGAGTACTATCAGAATTTGCCATGCGTGTAATTTGCTTGGGTAAATATACTTAGCCATGAAGGATCTAATATAGGTAAAATAGGGGTAGCAGTGGATCTTATTTGTGCTTCGCTTCACAAGCAGAAATTTAAGCCTTGAATCTTGATTTTTTAGTCTGATGTGCTGCATATTATAAAACGAGAATTGAAGAAGGTCCAAGAACAATGATTCTCTGAAGAAGAGGCAGTTTTTCCCGAGAGCACATTTAGCGAAGTCTAGACATACCTGCCTGAGGAAGAGCGATGTTATTACCATCTAGTGAGTAGAGGCCAAGGATGCAAGTAAAGACTTTACATTGTACCGGACAGCCCCCTCCCCCAAACATTTATTCATCTCTAAATGTTTATAGTGCCAAGACTAAGAAACCTTGGTTATGTAAGATTCCTGAGAGGCAAAGAACCTTGTTGGGTTTTTTTAATGTTTTTTTCTGAAGGACTATCAAGAAATTTGGGCAAGCTTGTCTCCCTTACATTTCTGAATCTTAATTTTTTTTATTTTCCAGAAGAACCATTCAAAGAATAATTCCCATATGCTGAAACCAGCAAAAATGTATATAACTTGGCACAACAATTATGATTCAGGATTTTCACATCTGTTCTCTAGAAATGAGAACAGCCTCATTTTACTACCAAAAGGATAGTAAAAACTAGCTATTTCTACTCATGACCATGGGAAATGATCTTAAGGAGAAAGCTCCAGAATAGAAAGGAAGAATCTAAGCTGCCTACAGCCTATTCACTGCTATTCCCAGTGCCTACCCAGTATCAGGCACGTAGTACGTGTTCAACAAACATGCACTGGCTGATTTTCATAGGCCCCCTCATTTATCATTCAAGCGTCATACATCCTACATTATACAGGATGATTCTGAAAGTTGTCAAAGTGGCTTAGGCTTCCCACAAGCCATATCATGAGCATGGGGGACAAGAAATTGTCCTTTGCTCTCTGCACTGGCAATCAGAAGATATGAAAGGCAAACCATTACCTGGTCAGCTGTCCTAAACGTATTACTCCTTGAAGAGTTGCATATCATCCATTACTGAATGTAAGGTTATTTTAATTTTTAAAAGAATTTAATTATTTTAATGAATTATATTCAGGGTTAACAGTCCCTGGACCTTGCAAGTTTAATACCCGGAATAGAATTCAGGGAGCCAAATTTCATATAGGAGTTTCTGGGGCCAGTGTTAAGCCATATATTGAGAGTGGAAGCAAGAAGTAGAGGAAACATCTCTGTTACAGCTTTGATCGGAGGATGAGGAATTCCCTGACATTTTTCAGAATCGCTTGTCTTGATCAGAGTCTTGGCCACACTCCTCTGCCACCTGCTCTTGACAATTGGGTAATGAGTGCCAGGAAATACTGTTTTATGTTTTGTTTTCCTGTCGGAGAACTCAGTGTTCTCTGCCGTGGTTTGGGTTGTATTTGAGAAGTAGTTGGACTCCAGACAGAGCAGGCAAATTCTGTTCTTTGGGGACACATCAACCCTTCCTTTGTTCTATAAGAAATGGGCTCATTAGAAGTATATTACCTGCTTCCTGAAATTTTTTATCACATGCTACAAAACTGTGTCTGGGATCAAAATATGTGAACAGTAATGGGGCACCTGCGTGGCTCAGTTGGTTAAGTGTCTGACTTTGGCTCAGGTCATGATCTCATGGTTCATGAGTTTGAGCCCCACATGGGGCACTGTACTGACAGCTCAGAGCCTGGAGCCTGCTTCAGATTCTGTGTATCCCTCTGTTTCAAGGCAGGCAAGACAAAACTCATCAATACTTTTCCCAAGTGATAAAATCTTGAGAAGATCATTGGATACATTGCAGCATGAATAACATTATTGAACATGACCAAAATTATGATTGCTATTTTGCACCAAGTCCAAATGTGTTCTTCAAAATAGTATTTTTCACATCAGCCTTCAATAAGAGGGGTTTAAATAGGGACTCAGGGGATATAGCTAACATCATTTGAAATCCAGATTTCCTAAAGTGAATAGTGTTGATGATTGGGTGTGATTTCTGTCACTGATCCCTATTTTATTTGCATTTTTAACAGTCTATAATTATCTTGTTTGCATATTTACTTACTTTTGTGTTGTTGGCCTCTTCTGCTAAAGGGAATGCAAGGGTCTGTTTGCCTTATTCATCTGTTAATCTTTGGAACTTTGCACAGATGCCGACATGATAGGTCCTCAAAATTACTTGTTGAGTGAATTCATGAGTGAACGAATCCTCCAAAGGCAAAGAGCTCTGCCCAAGAACAGCCTCAAATTCCTTACAGTATAAACTATGTCTATAATTACAATTTGTAAGTTATGACTATGAGAAGTTAAGGAGTTCGTTGAGGAGTTACTGGCAGAGTAATCCTGACTGGACTTGACAAGGCAGGGTGCTGACTCTTCTGCCTGTTTTTGTCTTCTTCATGAGCTCTGATGTTAGGGCCAGTCCCTGGGCTTGTGTTTTGCAAGATCAACCCAACCCCATCCAGCAGATTGCCAGGGAGTGGCTACAGATGGCCGTCAGTGACAATGACAGAAAGGAAGTCTGCACCCACACCACAGCACTGTTTCATTCAAAGCTCTCCACCGCTGCTTCCAATGGACAGTTTTAAACCCAGGCTTAAAGACGAAACACTTCACATTGCATGCCTACAGCATATGGTGCCTTTTCCAGGAGGCCCAGGATCCAAATGCCGCATGTGGCTTCCCCCTACCAGATTTGCTCCTTCTCTGTGTTCCTGGCAATGGCCGGAAACGGACAATAGATCACCTGGAGCCACTTCAGGGTTAACAAAGTCCCTGGTCTGTGGCTTCACTTGTTCGAGCTTCTCTGCCCTTTGTCTCTTGCCACGTTTCAACCCTAAGAATAGCTACCATACAGGGAAAGGGAGGCACGGGGCCCCTTTTTAGCTCAAGGAAGAGAAAAGCATATATATTCAGAAATGGCTAGGTAGGCAAAGGCCTGTTAGTTCACGTGAGACCAAAAGCTATTTGTTCCAATATTTTCTGTAAATAAAACTGCCACTGTAATGGTAATTCCATCATAAGTTTCAAAAAATGTGATGGCTGTTCTCAGCTTAATTTTCTCAGGCTCTGGGGCCACTCCTAGCCTTATCATTTACATTCTCGTAACCCTGAACTCCTTTTATTTCCTCCATATAGCACAATCTATAGCTTGTACCTTTGCTTTTGCTTTTTGGACTGGGACACCTTTACCCCAGCCATTCTCTGCCTTCCAGTTTTACCTCATGCATCACCACCTATTCAGGCGGGCCTTTCTGAAATTTCCAGATCCTGCTGTACACCCCACCCCGCCTCTGTGACCCCCTTTGTTTTAGCACTCATGTATTATATTTAATGATGTATTTAGGTGTTGGCCTCCGTTTGAATAAGAGCAATTTATTGAGGGCAAGAACCATGTCTCACTCATTTTTTGCCCACAATTCCTGGCATAAAGTCTGGCATTTAATAAAGTGATCTCAATAAATCTCGATTGAAATGAATCATTTGTCAGTAAACCATGATGTCCTCACTTGGGCCTTTTTCTACATTCAAAACTCCTGGAAGCATCAGAAACATTTTAAATGACTGCATTTTTGAGCTTCTGAGAATGTAACATTTTGTTATTTCTCTTCCTTTTCAGGAACCTCTTTCTGGAGCTGTAAAAGACAAAGAGAAGAATCATGTCCATGATTGCAGCTTTCTATGGTGGCAAGTCCATTCTCATCACTGGGGCCACAGGCTTCATGGGCAAAGTGTTGATGGAGAAGCTGTTTCGCACCAGCCCAGACCTGAAAGTCATTTACATCCTTGTGAGGACCAAGGCTGGCCAGACTACGCAGCAGAGGGTTTTCCAGATCCTAAATAGTAAGGTATGCCTTAGGGGAAGAGCCTTGGGGCAAGATGACTCACTACAATATTCCCTGACAGCCCCAGATTGCAAGTGGGGGGGCCAGGATGCCTGGGCAGGTAGAGAGAGGAGACAAGATGGCAATCAGGTGCTCATAGAAATCTGTGGTGTTTTCCTGTAGGAGAAGAAAGAGGGCATAGGCTCTGTCCAGGACAGGTGAGCAGATACTCTATGTTCTGGAAATTACTGAGTAAGAATCAAAAATGCTAAAATCCCCAGAGTGGACTCTCCAACCTCAATATCTGTCAAAGTTCAACAGAACCCTTTCCTACTTCTAAATTCAAGGTAGTCCCCCCACCCCAAGTTTTGGATATTCTATTCTATTCTGAACAGGTATGATTAGTAAGTAGCCATGCGATGATACTTGGCAGTTGTCCACACTCCACAAGGTTTAGGTGTTACATACTTATCTATGGTAACTTGGTATTTGTATTATTCCATCGGTTCTTCTAAGGGGAAAACATGGAACATGAAATATTACATACATAAATGAGCATTTGCGTATCAGACCCCCTCACTCCTTAAATAAAAGATTGTATGTATCCTCCCATGTTTTATAAATCTGAAGGTAGTATTGGCTTTGGTCTCAAGCATATCTTAGCTCAAATTCTGGCTTATCAGTTTATTGTCACTTTACCTCGTAAGCTCCGGTTTGCGGTGTTCAACATAGGAACAGAGACAAGGACTTCCCAGGATTGCCACAGGAATTAAATGGAAAAAAAAAAAAAAAAAAAAAAAAAAAAGGCATGTGTCTGGTTCAGAGGCCCCTTTGAAATATACAGGGTCATTTAGGGTTGGCAAAAGGAAAATTTAAATAAGGTGTTTTTCTTGTTGTTGTTTTTTTGTTTTCTTTTATAAAAAGCCTCCTTTCCCATGTGTAGAAATGCTCCCATCTAACGGAGGCAGTATCTGTTAGCACAGCACATTACAGACACTCAGGAACCCCGATGATCACATTTACCTGCAGGTACCTGGATGAGATTTTGGTACACATGATCATCAAGAGAATCAGGAAAGCCTCTCCTGTTTCTCATGGCTTGACTCAGCAGTGGGACAAATAATAGTAGCTGACAGTTATGTAGTCAGTACTTATGCACTTAGTATTAAGTACTTATGCACGTAGTACATGGCCGGCACCATTCAAAGGCTTTTTTGTGCCTTACCTCATTGATTTTTGCAACAGCCTGATGAAAAAAGAATGATTCATATCCTCAATTTTCATTTTCCAGATTTTATGGATGGGAACACAGGCCTGGAGTGTTAACTTACCAGAGGTCACCCAGGTGGTAAATGAGAGTCAGACTCTAGATCTCAGTCTGGCCCCTGAGGCAACACACTTGCCTCTGCCCAACACTGCCTGCTTTGTAGCTAGTGGGTCTTAAAACCAAAATGATAAGGTGGCATAAAGCTGAAATCTAGATCCCTCTTCAGACAGCTGTGTTCACTTATATATCCCTAATGGAGTTTGTTTTTCTCACATAGCAGACATGCCTTTTTAGCTTGGTAGCTGGCGAATAGATCTCTAGATAAATATTGTGGCAGAGTCTTGTGGTCAGCACTGTCTTTACCTACTGTTCTTTTCAATCACACAACAATATTACTTTTGTCCTGGAGATTTTGATTGTACTGTACATAACTTATCTGTGAAACTGACTTGCAAATCTCCACACTTGTTCCCACTATTGGGCTATTTATTGCCTGCTATTGACCTTTATGTATAGTGGTTCTCAAAATGTGGTTTCCAGACCAGCAGGATCAATATCACCTGGGAACTGTCTGTTATCATCAGATAGTGCTTGAAAAGCATAGGCTTCACAAGGCAGACTCACCTGGGTTTGAACCTCAGCACTAGCAATTAATAGCTGTGTGACAGTGGGCAAGATATATACTTGTATCTATGACCCTTGGTTCCCTTATTTGTAAGTAGGGTAATAATACCTTGCTCACCTGAGAGTGGTCTGTCTGTCTATCCACCTCACTCTATCTCTGTCCCCTACTCAAGTCTTTCTGGATTCAAATCCAAGTCTGACATCATTAGGTATGGTATAGTTTTAACCACTACCCCCTGTGGCCTCACTTTTTACTGTTATGCTAATTAGGGTTTATTGTATAGATTTCTTTTCTCCATAAATTTTACCTAAATGAATTATGGGAGGAAAGAAATCTGTTGTGCATTAAATGGCTGATCAACTTAATATCTGTGGTAAAACACCATGTCTGCATGACCATTTTGTGGGGCTTCTTTTCTTTTTTTAGTACTTTTATTTATTGAATTCCTTGGACATCTAAAGAATTTGGAGAAGCTTATACACTATGATTATTTTTTAAGGCACCTTACTTCTATGTTATCATTTATAACAGAAACGTTAATTGCTAAAAAGAACAGATTCCATCACTTATTGAAAACAAGCCTTTGGAGGGGTGCCTGGGTGACTCAGTTGGGTAAATGTGCGACTCTGGGTCAGGGCATGATCTTGCAGTTTGTGAGTTCAAGCCTCATGTCAGGCTCTGTGCTAACAGCTCAGAGCCTGGAGCTTGCTTCAGACTGTGTGTCTCTCTCTGTCTCTGCCCCTCCCTTGCTCACACTCTATCTCTCTCTGTCTCTCAAAACTAAATAAATGTTAAAGAAAACAGGCTTTAGTTATGCAAAGACCCATTTTCTTGGCTATGTGGAATTTGATACCTACAAAAAGATTTTCCATGGGGGGAAAAATGATGTGCTTTATTTTATTTCTGGGCATTCAAAAACTGAAAAGTTTCCACTACAAAAATCATGAATTCTTGCCTCAGAATATGAGGATGCTCTTGCTGATTGGCTGTCAAGAATGCTGTGTGCAGGGAAGAGACAGCCCAATCCTTATTACTGACTGTGACATATACGGTATTATTGCTCATATTCATTTTGAAACTAAAAATTCAAAAGAAAGACAAACCTTAAGATTACATTTTTAAAATACGTGAATACACTCCTTTTGCACAAAAAAAACCCTTCCAGATCATATTAATTTTTTTGTTTTGTTTTTTGTTTTGACTTAGAGTATGTGGCTATTTAAATTCAAATTAATTACAATAGTGAACTTTAAAATTCAGTTTTCAGTCATAGTAGCCATATTTCAGTGCTCAATAGCTACGTGTGCTGCTGGCTGCTTTACTGTACAGGTATAGAACATTTCTATAATCACAGAGTTTTAGACAGCATTCATTTAGATGATTGAGTGTCTTGTATGGAAGGACCATGCTGTGATTAAGATTTTCATGCTGCCCCTCATTTTTATTAACTCTACACTTACTAAAGTGCTTGCTTATGTGTCACACATATGCTAGGCACTAAGGATATGAAGACAAAAATGACATGGCCAAGTCAAGTGATGGAGATAGTCATGTAAAACATGATTACAATGCAACACAAGTTCTCCAGAGAGAGGAAACCAAAGGGCAGTCTAAGCAGGAAGAACCACACCTGCAAATGGATGGCTGGTATGGTATATTTGAGAACCTCTGGGTGACTTGCTTAGCCCCAAACAAGTGAGTTTTTAAGAACTAGAAAGGCATGCTAGTTCAGGCCAGATTCTGAAAGACTACACACAATTGTTTTAGTTAGCTCACTTTCAGTTGGAAGAAAACTCGATTGAAACCGGCTTAGAAAACAAAGATGATATATTGATTATACAATGGGAAACTCCAGGACCACAGTCATGGGCAGTGGGCTGGAGCTCTGGCCACCTTGGTCTGTGAATCTCTCAGCTCTGCCATTTTGTTCTAGTTTTATTCCAGTTATGAATAAGATGGTTGTTATCATTGCAAGATTCATGTGTGTGTGTGTGTGTGTGTGTGTGTGTGTGTATACATATACATATACATATACATATACATATACATATACATATACATATACATATATATATGACAGCCTTTGGATAAAGAGAGGCTGGCTCCCTCTGAAACTCTCTTTCAAGATTGATGAAACCTCTTTTCTGGAAAACCTCGTATTTCCCCTTATATCTTACCAGCCTGGGGTAGGGTATATGTCAATTTCTGGACCAACCCCTATCACATGTGGTATGACATATACTGATTTATTCAGAAACTCCAGATCTAAGCTAACCACTGAGCAGAGGGTAAGAGTTCACTTAGATAAGTAAGTGTTTCCCCCGGGCTGGGGTGAGACCATCTTCTCCTGAGGCACAGTGGCTACATGGAGAATGGAGAACATCTGAATGATAATTTAGATACTTCTCAAGACCCAGAAGAATGGATATTAGGAAGCAAGCATCCTGAGAAGAGCCTGGTCTCAGGAGTGACACAGACCTGAGTTGGTGTCCTCTCCCCACCAAGCAGTGTGCCTTTACATAACTGAGGCTGAGTAACCCAAATAAGGATACTAATGGCTATTGTCTTCTACACTGTTGTGAGATGTCAATGAGCTAATACAGGAAAGACACTTAGAATAGTGCCTGGACCAGGGTAAGAACTTGGCAATTATTAGTTTTTAATATTACTATTCAAATATGGAAGCTTGAGCTTTATCTTTTAGGGGATGGCACTCCAGTTGAAGGCCTTTTTTTGTCTTCTGAAAGCTGGATGATTCCGCTATTTTAAATAATGGTAATAAAACAGCACTCAACTGATGAAGATGGGAAATTAATTGTGGGATCTGTGATTGTAATGAGTTTAGTTGAGTAATTGAAACAGAAATCATACTACATTTTCCCCTTACGGAAAAACTCTGCCAACTCATGGAATAGAGGATCAGCAAAATGCATTCTGATACAGAATATCTAAATGTGTTAGGCAAAATATGTTTTTATAAAATAATCTTAGTGCATCAGTGAGTTAGAGAAAAAGCAAGAGCAGAAACAACAATGAAAAATTAGCCACCTGAGAATTCTGAATAATCTTGGGGAGGATCTTGAATTGGGAGTGTAATCAATCACAACTCAGTTAAGGTGCAGAGAAACCAAA